TTTGCCGAAATTCTGGGGGGGAGATATGTCCGAATAACTGAAATGATGATATTAATGATAATAATTCGGTCTCTTGGTTCAATTCAGTAAATAAATTGAAGGTACAATTGGTAATGACCACAAATTTATGGAAGGAGTTTTTGTTAGGTAACTTTAACAAATCATTTATTAAATTTTATATTTTTTTTCAGTTCGCCTACTATTTTTTTGATTCTTTCAATTCTTTCTATTATCTTTGAGGTATTTCAATTTCGTCAAGTATGTTATTTTTTATAGAAAACTTCCGACTCTATTAGACAGTGTTTTTGGACCCGGCCCGGCCCGGCCCGACCGGGCCGATTGAACCGGTTGATCCGGACCCGAGCTTAAAAACGGGCCGAGTGCATGCCTTGGCCCGTTTTACCAATTAACCTGTTCTAACCCGCCATAACCCGCCCAACTCGCTAAACCCGCTCATACTGCCTAACCCGTCGAGCTGAGTCCATTAAGCTTTTTTAATGTTAATTAAATTAATTTTTTATGTTTAATATAATTTACTTATTTTATTCTATTTTTTAATGTTATTACAATAAAAATCATATATTTAAATTAAAAATTAAAAGATAAAATCAATTAAAAAACAAAAATAAAGTCTCAAACTTCCACCAAAAAAAAAAAAAGCTAAAGTCACCACCACCTGCCTTTCCCTGCCCAATCTCAGCCACCTTCGTCGGCGGCTTCCAGCCTTGTGCAGAAACAAAACCAAAAAGCAAACCCTTCGTTTGTGCAGAAGCAAAATCCAGATGTAGAAGCTAAAACGAAATAGAGCAGGCGAAGTCATCGTCGGCCAACTGCCTTCCTGATCCCAGCCGTCGGTGACTCCACAACTACCTCCCCGATCTCAGCCCTTCGCCACTCACCTCCTTCTTCCATCAACAGAACAGATCTGCCTATGCTCCGCCAGTCATCGTCCTCTCCGCCAATCATCGTCTTCTCCTTCACCAGTCATCGTGCTCTCCTCCGCTAGTCATCGTCCTCTCCTCTCCGCCAGTCATCCTCCTCTCCGCTCACCTCTTTAAAAAAGCTGTTTACCTTTTTTAGTCAACCGGTTGAATCGGTCGGGTGAATTGGTTCAATCGGTTGAACCGGACCCGGTGGCCAAAACGGGCCAACCACTGGGCCGGGTCCAAAAACAATGCTATTAGAGAATAGTTAGTCCTTTAACTATATTTATTTTAATTTTTTAGTCCTCAAATTTATATTTACTATAAAAACAGCTCTTAAAATTATTGTTTCTTGGCTCTGATACTAGATTTTTCTACGAGTTTTTTAGAACTTAACTCAGACTATTATTGACTAATGAATAGTTGGTATGTTAAGCTCAGTAAGTACGGAATTAGATCTATTAGAATGCTAACAAAGAAAATATTTGCTTGGCCTTTTTTAATCTTTTTAGATCTTCATTTAAATCTGCAACTATATGATTCAACTTTTTGAGATTCTTAGATAGATGATAATCATCTTTAATATTACTTATTTTTTCTAAAATTTTTACTATTTTATTTCTATAATATTTGCATTGTTGCTCATAAACTATCTTATCTAAAACAATTTCTTGAATAAAATCAAGCATCTTAAATTATAATGGTTTAATATAAAATGGATTTTTCTATTCAAAACATAAGAGGTCAAGTACTATTTCCCCATCATTTCTCTTCTCAAAAATAATCTAATGTTAAAGAATAATAAAGTTGTTTCTATGCCCACCTTGCTTTCGCATGATAAAATAAATGAGTTAGAATTTTACCTGAAAATCCTTTGGACTAGCCTTTAGTCAAGTAAATGCTTCCTTCGTCCAACCCTTAATGCCAAACTTAGGTTATAATGGGTATCCGGACAGGACAAGTGACTTCACTGCTACCTTAGTTTCTTTAGGATTCTTCTCATTTTATTTTATGATAGAAATAAAGAAGGATAAAAACACAAGAATTATTCTAAAACATAATTTTATTTTTGAGAAAAGAAAGGGAAAGTTCCCTTTCCTCTTAAAGGGTGTTTACAGATGCATAATAGAAGGCTTTCATGTAAGGTATTTGGATATTCAAATGTCCGATACTTGTTACAGCTTATAGGAGGCTTTTTATAGCGCTCCTTAGAATTTTTTCTTTTGTCATTGCTGACAATTAAAGTTTATTGTCTGGTGATCCAAACTTACTTCTTGCTTTTGTTAAAGTAGATTACATGGAAACTTGCAAACACTCTTCTTTTTCTTTAATGACGTAAGTGCTTACATCTTTTTGCATTGGATTCTTCAGAGGATGATGAGATCCTCTTCACTGTCTGAGGGGGTGGTCCTTTCGTCATATAGGGCTTTAGCTTTTCCTTTTGCAGATTCTTTTTTGTAGTAGAAACCACAATGACTGTCATGCTTTAATAGCTTGCATAGTCTATTATGGACTGCTTTACTGTCTGGGACCAAATTTTCAAAGATTTCCTTTCTTTTCTGCTTTATTTTGAACAAGCTGATGCTTGTCATTAATCTTGCACCAGTGGATACCATCGAGATTTCTTTGGAGAAGCCATAAGTCCATGGTTTCCTCATCTCTATCATTTTTGTCAAAGGTCTGGAGTAAAACCTTGAATCCTAGAGCTTGTCTCTCTTAGATGTACTCGATCGCACAAAGAGACTCTTCAAAGTCTTGAAAATTTTGATCTTCATTCGTTTCTACCTTGATTTTCTTGGACTGGATTCCAATTTGAACTATATGATGACTGGGGAAATATTGAGATTTCTCTCATTCTGGTGCTGTAGAGTAGATTTTGACAAATACTACCCTTGAGCTTTGGTGCCAGTTTTAAAGTCTTTCACTCCTTGGCGTATAACTTATGGAAGTTTTGAAACTTTTTCATTATCCTTTGAGAGATAAATACAGTTTACAAATCCGTAATTGAATAACTCTTTTATTGCTTTTGGGTTTGCACCCTGCATGAAATTAATTTTAGGATAAACCCCTTCATGGATAGGATGGCAATTCTCAGTGGACCTTATTAAATATGCTATTTTACAAACTTTGCGGTATTCTTGCAAATATTCTTCACTCATTGTCATTTTTGAAAAGGTGTTTATTATTGCAGCTTTCTTGTCTTTCTTTCCTAAGTAATCAGGTCAAAGTTATGGCTTTCGGCATTTTGAATAACCAGCTTTTCAGCTTGAGACGCTGATATTTTTGAGGAAGAGTATTTGACATAATAGTTAAACTTCCCTGAACTTTCTCCAAGTAATCCTACTAAAAGTTCACCTTGTTCAAATTTTTCTTTTAACTCTTATTGGGGGCTTTTCTTTGCCACCTGGCTAGATTCTTTAGAGTTAATTCCGACAATAGTAATTATTTCAGAACTCATTAATTTTTCTATCAGCTTTTTGACCTCTTCAAGAGCATCTTGCCCCTTATTTAATAACTCATGGCCTTTAATAATCTTTTATTGGCCTTCATCCATAAGGCTATGGCCTTCATCGATTATTTCTTAGCCTTCAATCATTTTTTCTTGGCCTTCTCTTATTTGGCTATTGCCCTCAATGAGTGTCTCTTAACCTTTGAGAATAAGGTCTTTCCCTTTATTTTGGAGTTTCACGATTGCATCCACCAGCTCCTTCTCTACTCAAGAAATCTATGAGACAATTATTAATTCCTTTGACATATTTAATTTCAAAACATATTCAGCAAAGAAAGTTGGTCATCTGTTTATCTTTTATATTCTGGTGTTAAAGGTAATTTATTAAAAATAAATCCTTTAACTTGAGTATTGTCAGCTCTGACCTTAAAATGTTTTGGTAATAGGAAGAAATTGAACTTTTTTATTCTATTTTTAATAGCCAATAACTCTTTATGATTTGAATGATATGTAGTTTCTACATCTTTAAATGTACCACTAGCATATCTACAAACTTTTTCTTGAGAATTTTTTAAAGTTGCTCCCAAATAAAAATTTGAGGGATCACATTCTAAAATTAACTCTTCATCTTCTTTAGGCAATTGTAGCTTAGGAAGGTTTTTACAATAGTCTTTTATTCTTTTCACATGATTAATGTGATAAATTTCTTATTGTTGATTTTCCTTTTTCCTAAGCAACTTTTACAAAGGATGTCGTAATTGAGTTAGGTTTTAAATAATCTGCTCTGCATAATTATGTATTCCTAGAAACCTTTTAATTTTTTCTTTAGATTCTAATTTATTTGGGAACATCAAAATCTTGTCGCTAATGTGAGGTTGTAATTATATTCCTGTGGAATTTATTGTTAATCCAAGGAATTCAATTTTGGTTTTTCCTATTTCTGCTTTCTTTTCAGAAAGTAATATTCCATGTTTCTTGCATAAATATGCAAATTTTTTAAGATGATATAAATGTTCTTTCTCATTATTAGCGAAGATTAGTATGTCATCTACATAAACTATGCAAAATTTTTTGATGGAAGAAAATACATTATCCATCCTTCTTTGAAATATTTGAGGCACATTTTTTAATCCAAAAGGCATTACTAATCACTCATAGTGTCCTATAGAGGCACTAAAGACTGTTAGTGGGATATTATTAAGAGTTAGCTTAATTTGCTAAAATCCTGATCTACAATCAAACTTTGAATACATTTTCTTTCCCTTAATGCTATTGATTAAAGTTTCTTTATGTGGTAAAAAGTAACCATCGAATTTAGTTTTGCTATTAAGTT